AGCTATTTCAAATCCTGAAAGATGATGACTAGTTTGATCTTGCTGTCTAAGGGATTCTCAAGAGTTTTCTGCAACATCACAGTTCAAAACCATCAATTCTTCAGCCCTCAGCTTTCTTTATGGTCCAACCCTCACATTCATACATGGCTACTGGAAAAAGCATAGCTTTGACTAGACAGACCTTAGTCAGTAAAGTAATATCTCTGCTTTTTAATATGCTATCTAGGTTTGTCATAACTTTTCTCCATTAGCCTCTTATCCTTATTTGTTAGAGGGCAGACAGAATGAAAACCACAATCACAGTAGTCACGTATGGATGTGAGAGTTGGACTATAAAGAAAGCTGAACGCTGAAGAATTGATACTTTTGAACTTTGCTGTTGGAGAAGACTCTTGAGAGTCCCTTGGACTGCAAGCAGATCCAAATAGTCAATCCTAAAGGAGAGCAGTCCTGAATATTCATTGGAAGGACTGATGCTGAAGCTGAAACTCCAATACTTTGGCCACCTGATGTGAAGAACAGATTCATTGGAAAAGACACTGATGCTGGGATAAAACTGAAGGCAGGAGGAGAAGGGGATGGCAGAGGATAAGATGGTTGAATGGCATCACTGACTTGATGGACATGAGTTTGAGCAAGCTCCAGGAGTAGGTGATGGACACGGAAGCCTGGCATGCTGCAGTCCATGGGGTTGCAAAGAGTTGGACATGACTGAGTGACTGAAATGAACTGAACTTTTTCCATTAAAAGTGTCTTTTAATTTCATGGCCACAGTCATCATCTTCAGTGATTTTGGCGCCCAAGAAAATAGTCTGTTTCCATTGATTTCCCATCTATTGAGTATGATGGGACTGGATGCCATGAACTTAGTTTTTTGAATGTTGAGTTTTAAGCCAACTTTTTCACTCTCTTTCACTTTCATCAAGAGGCTCTTTAGTTCCTCTTCACTTTCTACCATAAAGTTGGTGTCATTTGTATATTTGAGGTTATTGATATTTCACCTGGCAATCTTGATTCAGCTGTGGTTCATTCAGCTCAACATTTTGCATGATGTACTCGGCATATAAGTTAAATCAGCAGGGTGACAATATACAGCCTCGATGTACTCCTTTCCCAGTTTGGAACCAGTCTGTTGCTCCATGTCTGGTTCTAACTGTTGCTTCTTGACCTGCATACAGGTTTCTCAGAAGGCAGGTAAGGTTGTCTGGTATTCCCATCTCTCTAAGAATTTTCCCATTTGTTGTGATCCACTCAGTCAAAGGCTTTATCATGGTCAATGAAGAAGAAGTAGTTGTTTTTCTGGAATTCTCTTGCTTTTTCTATGATCCAACAAATATTGGCAATTTGCTTTCTGGTTCCTCTACCTTTTCTAAATCCAGTTTGAGCATCTGGAAGTTCTCAGTTCACATACTGTTGAAGCCTAGCTTGGAGAATTTTGAGCATTACTTTACTAGCATGTGAGATATGTGCAACTGTGAGGTATTTTAAACATTCTTTGGCATTGCCTTTCATTGGGATTGGAATGAAAACTGACATTTTCCAGTCCTGTGGCCACTGCTGACTTTTCCAAATTTGCTGGCATATTGAGTGCAGCACTTTCACCACATCATCTTTCAGGATTTGAAATAGCTCAACTGGAATTCCATCACTTCTACTAGCTTTGTTCATAGTGATGCTTCCTAAGGCCCACTTGACTTTGCACTCTAGGATGCCCGGCTCTAGGTGAATGATCACACCATTGTGGTCATCCGGGTCATGAAGATCTTTTTTATATAGTTCTTCTGTGTATTCTTGCCATCTCTTCTTAATATCTTCTGCTTCTGTTAGGTCCATACCATTTCTGTCCTTTATTGTGCCCATCTTTGCATGAACTCTTCCTTTAGTATCTCTAATTTTCTTGAAGAGATCTCTAGTCTTTCCCAGTCTATTGTTGTCCCCTATTTCTTTGCATTGATCAAGTATATACTGCCTTGCTTTGCATTGGAAAAGTACATAATGCTTTGCTTTGCATTGAAAATGTATGTAACATCTTGCTAAAAGCTAGCAAGAAGGCATTCTTTCTACCCTGTTCTGATGTCTATGTCAGAAGCTTTCTCTGTCTCTTTTATAGTTTAATAAAACTCCATTACACAGAAAGCTCCTAGTGGTCAAGCCTGGTCTCTGACCCTGGATCGAAATCCTCTCCTCCAGAGGTCATGAATCCCGGCGTAGCACATGTCTTGCAGCCATAACCTATAGTCCCCAGGTCGCATTCTGACCCTAAAACTCCTCTTTTCTTTCCCACAGCCACTCACATGGCCAGTGCCCTCGGACACCAGAAAACTGCGTGGCAGATAATGAAGATTCGGAGAACATGAAGGTCATTTATTTCCTCTTCCATATTTTAAAAAAAAATTGTTTTTCTGATCCATAGACTCTTTCTTGTAAACCTTTCCCATCTCCTCTTTCCATCTTTTTATGATTATCCTTCTGGAGGACCTTCTCTCTCATAGGCACTTGGGATCCTTGGGAGCTTATATAAAATCTATGAAATCTGTCTGCAGCCCTCTTCCCCCACTTTCTTAGCATCGCCTTGGCTCCTGACCTCAGGTCTGCACCATTGAACCTGGCTTTGTCACCGTGAGTGACTTGAGCAGGAGTTGAGGCTGAAGTCAGTAGGTCTGGACCCATGCAGCTGAAGAGCCCCCATGAAGTTTGCACTGCCCTGGTCTATGCATATGGATGCTTTCCTGCCCTGGGAGGCCTTGGACCTGCCTGCCTGATCTCTTCCTTCCAGTTGTGAAAACACTCTCTGCTCACGTCCTTGAGGAATGTTTTTGAGGATGTCAATGGTGATGATAAAGAAAAGGATTGGAAAGAGCAAGTGTGAACGTGAGGCCTGGGATGAAAAGGTGAGGCAGACGAGGGCATGTGTCTCCATCACGTCCCCAACTCTCTTGTTGGTGTTTCAGAAACATTGGCAAAAACACGGGGCATCTGTTGAATACGACCACAGAAGTGGAGACCGGAGGGTGGTAATAATCTACGCAGATTTGAGGATGCCCTGAGCACGTCTCCCCAGAGCACAGGTCCCCGTCCACAGATGCCCCCAAGATTGCTGGGCTGGTCCTCTGGCAGCTCTATGCTCACAGGGAGGTGGGAGGGGCACTGTGGGCCCACCGTGTCTATGAGGCCAGGAGCTGCTGTCCCAGCATGTTCTCTTTGAAGATCCGCACTGGAGAGTTCCTCATCTCCCTCTGCAGGACACAGCTCTGCCCTCCCAACCCGCTACAGGCATCAGGAAGCATCCCTAGTGCAAAACCAGCTGTAGTGAGAGGTTGGGATGGGCCCACCCTCCCTAGTCCTAGGCTTCTGGGAATAGAGTGCGGGAGACCAGGTGCCCAGAGCTCGTGCAGGCAGGGAGTCCCCTTGCAGCTCTGCATCCTTGTGGGTGCTCCTTGGCCCTGAGGGTCCCAGCCAGCCTGAGAAGGAACCGAGCCTGGGGTCCCTCAGCCTCTGGAGCCCTGGGGGGCCCTGGGTCACCTCGGGGCACCATTTCTCAACTGGAGTTGGAGGTTCCATAGATTCTTCTGTGTATGTGTCCAACTCCAGCTAAAGAAACACCAGAAAGCAGCTCAGTGCCGTGTGCACTTGGAATGAGTGGCAGGATTCAAGTCACTCATGTTCCTTTTATTTTTTATTCCAATTCTTTCTGTTTTTTCTTTGTAAACCCAGACATGCTTCTGCTCATTTTAATTAGATAAAATTAACAAGGAGATTAAGGTAAAAGGAGAAATGAAAAATAAAATGTTCGGTAGAATTTACATAAGTGAACTGAACAATGATGTACAAGAAAGAATGCAGAGAAACAGACACATTTGAAACGTTCTTCAGATTTCACATGACTTAAACCAGTCTCCAGACGAGGGGAAGAACTCTCTTCTTCGCCATCGTGAATTGTAGATTTGGGGGATGTGGAAGAACATTCTCCAGCAACAACTTCCTTCTCCTCTTCAGATGTCACCAAGAATAATGAATCAGTCAGTATCATTCTCGAATGGCCCACACTGCATCCAATTCAAACCACTCACTTGTTTCCTGTCTGAATTTATTTGCAAGCTATCTGGAAATTTTTCCCTTTTCATTCTATTTTTCTCCCTATTCTCTCTCCCCATTGAGCCAACAGGCCAATGGGGCCAATCAGAAAACCAGATCAATAACATGCTCCAGCCCCTGTGGATTTTCTAGGGGCAAAGACTTCCCAGTTTCTTGTTTGCATATTACGAACAAGTGGTTACTTGATAACACAGACTGTGCTCTTGCATCCCCCCCCCCAATTTTTGGTTTATTTTTCCTTTTTGCAGAAAATGCAAACAAAAGAAAAACAAGGTTTTTGATTGAAGGTACATCTCTTCTTCAATATGAAGACATTAATTGAATTGATTGGATCCCCTATGCAGTGGTCAGCAAGGTCCTTTGGCAACTGACAGAACATCTTGAGTCTCAGGAGCTGAGGTTTGTTTGAAGAAACTTCCCTATACAAGTCATGAGCAAAGGGAGATAGATGTGTGGGGAGGGAGAGGGCTCTTGGGGAGGAGGATGCAAGGAGAAAAGAAAAGAACGTCACTGGTGAGGAAGAAAACGAGAAACTGCTTCTGTGTCTTCCCCCTACCTCCTTCCCTTTCTTCTAGCTGAAGGATGATTCCAGCCCACCCGGGGTGTGAGCTGAGTTCACTCTTGGGGTCTTCGATGCATACTGTTTTGTCTTCACTTCCACTGAATATCACCTTTGTGTATTTTTATCATTACATATTTGGTTCCCACGGCACCTTAATTGTGCATCAGTCACTGAGAAATGAAGGTTGCCTATTAGGAATAGGTCCAGCTTATTCTTCATTATGAGAATGCATTTCTTAGGTGAGAAGCCAGTCTCTCCAGAACATTCCACAGTGGTCAACCTCTGGTTCCCCCTTGAGCCTGGTCCTTTTCCTTCCTCTCCTCCCCAGAGAAAAAAAGAGTTGTCATGCCATTGCCACTGGTGACTGACTCATCTGCACCCTCATAGACAGAATGCTGTTCAGAATCGCCTCCTGATGACCTGCCAAGGTGACCCCTATTCTCAGGAGGTCTTCTGATGTCATCTGGGTGAGCAGCTGGAGGGACGTGAAGCCAGCAGTGAGCAAGCTGTCCCTGTAGTGGACCATCTGGATGGCGCTGAGCCAGTCACCCACGGTGGTGAAGGCCATGAAGCCTGGGATGGAGCAGAGGAGCAGGGGCTGGGACGGCACGGTGGTGATGATAGCCGCCGTGTTGAGGCTCTCCAGGCTCTGGATCATCTTGTCCAGGGTACTGACACTCTGGCTGTTACGGTCCTTCTGCCAGCAGTCCAGCGTGAGCTGGGGTAGAGCAGCCGGGCAGTCCGTGGGGGGGGGCGGGGGGCGGCAGTCCTGCTCCACGGCATTGACAGCATCTTGGTTGGACGTGTCCCAGTAGGGTCTCTTTCCAAACGCCATGACTTCCCACATGACAATCCCGTAGCACCAGAGGACTGGCAGACGTGAACTTAGAGTTGGCCATGGCCTCCAGAGCCATCCATCTCACGGGGATGCTGCCTCCCAAGGAGCTGGTGTGGGTGGGATGTGAGGTGTCATCCTGGAGGTAGTGGGAAAGGCCAAAGTCCGACACCTTGCACACCAAGTGACTTTTGATCAGAATGTTCCTTGCAGCCAGGTCCGGATGCATGTAGTTCATTTCCACCAGGTACTTCATGCCCACGGCGATGCATCCCTGCCAGCTGGATCACCATGCACTGTCCGTAATTTGCCTGAGGAAAGAATCCAAAGCATCAATCTCTGTGAACTCCATGATGATCATGACCGGCTGGCTCTTGGTGACCACACCCTCCAGATGAATGATGTTGGGATGGTCAAACTGCCCCATGACGCTCGCCTCGCTCGGCAAGTCCCAGCGCTGCTTCTCCGAGTACCCAGCCTTCAGCATCTTGATGGCCACATAGATTTCCCTCTTGCCCGGAAGTTTCCAGTGCCCTTTGGGCACCTCTCCAAACTCTCCTGCTCCGATGACCTCTTTGCTGTACACAGCTTCTTTGCTGTAAGCATGTTTCCTGCTGCAGACAGGGAGATGGCCACCACGAACACCACCCCAGCCGCTGCCGAACACCACGCCAGGCTGCAGGCCATCAGTCCGCACAGTGTTGGTCTGGCTCCTGGCCATGAAGGAGTTGAACTTATTGTGTTCCTTCTCATAGTACCGGATCTCATAGTCCAGGATGAGGCCATTGGGCTGCTCCAGCTGTGGCCATGACAACATGGTGCTTCTCATGGGGGCACTGACCTGATTCATGATGGAACAGTGGAAGGGTGAAGCCTTGGACTTCGTCTCCATCGTCTTCTCAGTCTGCGTCTTGCCCGCCTGTGGGTAACATTCAAGGTCCACCTGAACAACATACACTACCCCCAAACCCACAATTCTTCTATTTTTTATTCCAATTCTGTCATTAATAACATATAACTTGTTTTATTACAGTTTAAAAACAGCATCTTCTGTAAACTTTAATGTTGTGATACACTAAACATATGCAATAAATGTTTTTATTAAAATAGCAATTAATACTTTAAAATCATAAACATCAGAAGAGTTTGGCTGGGGGTTAGAAAGGATTATTAGGGGCAATAGAGACTACTGGTGTCTGTCCATTTCTGATACGCAGTTCTCAGGAGCAGTTGTACTGAGTGTAGGATGGGTGGGCAAGTTCCCCCACTCTCCATGGCATCTGACTTCCTGCTCCTCTCTGGGCCTCAGGGGAGGGGGGACTTGGCCCTTTAGTCCAAGATCCCAGAGCCCCCGTTCCTCTGCCTCAGTCTCACTGTCCAGGGGAACTGTCAGTCGAAGACTGCTGGCCAGATACGCAGGTGGAATTACTCCTGTGGGACCTTTCTAGACACTCCCTACTAACAGACAACTCCCTCAGGGAAGAGCAGCAAACAGACCCAGTGCCTTGTGGACTGACTGCCGGGGACATCAGGGCCCAAGGTCATGTCTAGATCCCCGGGCTGTTCTTGGGTCCTGCACACCCTTTCCAGAAAACCCTCTTCTTCTGACTCTGCACCTCCCCAAGGACACCATCACCTGTGTTTGTGCTGCAGGCTCTGGTCTCAATCCTGGACTCCAGGCTGGGCCTTTCTAGAGGGTGTAGCCCACACGCCATCAGGAGCCTTATCTGGACCAACATTGAGAGAGGGCTCACTGCTCGTCTCCTGAGGCTTGTATTTAGTACAAGCTCAGTTGTTTGGTCATATAGATTTAGCTTTAGTTTTATCTGCAGTTTTTTCTATTATGTGTATTTATCTTCTATATGTTCAGTTATGTATGTTTGTTCTATATTTAAAGTTTCTTTTATTAAAATCTATTTATCCATCTAGTTGCCTTCATAATAATTTTCCATAAAATCAAACACACATAAGAAAGCACTCTGAGAAGAGGTAGGACTCAGTGGATAATTATAAGGCAGTCACCCTAGTGTCCACTCCCCCTCTCGTGGAATGCTCATTCAGTCTCATTTGAGTAAGGAACTGTAAATTTAGTATTTACCATCTGTCCTTGTGTCTGTCTTTCAAAGGATTCTGTTTTCTGAAGTCTCTTTTTCCCATTAGTCAAGGTAACGTTATTACTTTAGATCTTTCATGATGACTTGGATGTATGGACTTTTGATACCCAATCAGTTTTTCTGGAAAAGAATTCATGAATCATTATGTCTCTCCTTGAGTATCTTAACTGTGTTGCCCTGTTTACTTCCAACACAGGGTATTTCTCTTCATAAAGGTTGATAAAATTCTAATTTTTGTTTCCTTATATGTCACTTGTTCTTTTATTCTAGATATCCAGAGGCCTTTTGTTTTTCTTTAAAACCCAATAATATTTCCAGAACATCTTTTGCTATTAGTAATTGCAAGTTAATTCTCATAGGTCTAATAAACAGTTTCAAACTTTTTTTTTACTTTCAGAATAATTTGCATGATAATGTTTAGTATTTGCTTTCCATCTTGGCTTTGATTTTTTCCCCATTTATTCTAATCATTCATATATCAGATCTTCCACTTTTGACACATTCATCAAATAAGTTGCAATTTTTTTGCTGTATTTATTTTCCAGAAATATTTATTCAATAGGGTTTAAGAATTTCCTTCATCCCCTCTGCTTTCTTATAATACATTTTTATTATATTTCTCTTAATTTAAAATTTATCTACAATGATATTTTCAGTGTTTTATTAATCTTTGGAGCAATGTACATTCATTTCTGAGTTGTTTAATCCTGATCTATGATGTACTTTCCTATTTTGAATCTTTTCTTCAAAATTTCAGTTTTTTTTTTTTCATAAAATTTCAGTTTTTATTATTAAATATGTCATTATTCATGAAAAGAGAATCATTGCATCCATGGAGAATTTAGTAGAGACTTGTGTAGACTTGCTTTTTTCCTAGTTCTTTGTACTTTTAAAAAACATTGAAGTGTAATTCACTTACAACAATGATAGTTCCAGGCACCCATCATAATGATTTAATGCTTCTGTAGATTACAAATCATTCCCACAATAATTCTAGTTACATCTGCAAGCAAACTTACATTATTGACTGTAGTCTCCATGCTGTATATTTCAACTCCTTACTAATTTATTTGTAACTGAAAGCTTGTGAGTCTTAATCTCCCTTCCCAATTTCTTTTATCAGCTCTTGTCTCTGGCAATCACATTTGTTCTCTGTATCTATGACTCTTTTTCTGTTTTCTTATGTATGCTGTGTGTTTTGTTTTAATGATTCCACATACAAGTGAAATTGTACTGTATTTGTCTTTCTCACTCTTATTTCTCTTAGCGTAATACACTCTATGTTCTTTCATGTCACAAATGGCAAGATTTCATTCCCTTTTTATGGCTGAGCAGCATTCCATTGAATGTATGTACTACATCTTCTTTATCCATTTATCTGCTGGTGGACATTTAGGGCTCTTGTATATCTTGGCTTGGCTTTTTAAATAATGTTGCAGGGAACATAGAAATATCTATGTCTTTTAAAATTACGGTTCTTATTTTCTTAGGAAAAATACCTAGAATTGGAATAGCTGGATCCTATGGTATTTCCAATTTTTACTTGTTTTGAGGAAATCCCATACTTAAGATATATTAATTAAGATAGCTCATAATAATGCTTCTTTGTACACTTTGACTCATGCTGTACATACAACGAAAATTCTGTTTTCTTTACTATATATTGGTTCTTTAAAGGCAGAGAAATTCTTAGAACACATTTTTTTCCCCCTGGATCATTAAACATAATTTTCAGCAATTAGAAATGTGTTCATTAAATTATTTTTCCTCATGTTTTGAAGATTCTTTACAATTCCTGTAAATAAAGCTGGTATTTTCCATAATCATGAATTATTGAGGGCCACTGAATGGGATACATAAAGAACTGGAAAAGAAAATCTCATAAAAATAATTTTGATTACAAAGCACATTTGTTCCGGTGTTTTTTATTTTTTTTATTTTTTTAAATTTTTTTATCACAACCATAGTGTATCTTTTTTTTTTTTTTTTACATGTATTCCCCATCCCGGTCTGTTCCGGTGTTAATGGATTGTTTGATAGGATACAGGCTGGAATGCAGAATTATGGAAAAAAGAGACACAAAAAGTGTGCGAATTCACGAAAGGACAGACTTCTCTGCAAAGGCAGAAAAAGTAGCATTTATTTGTCCAAAGATAGAAAATATAATTCTGTATCTATGGTGGAAAGTGAATTTTCCCCAGGAAAAAATTTAATTCCAATGTAGTAAACTTAAAATTTGTTTTCAGTTTTTGACTGTTTTTCTTCTTGGCAGAAAAAAAATGTTAGTGCTAACTTGCATGTGTGTGTGTGCTCAGCCCCATCCGACTCTCTGCCACCCTGCGGACTGCAGCCCACCAGGCTCCTCTGTCCATGGGATTTCCCAGGCAAGAATCCGGAGTGGGTTGCCATTTTCATCCTCCAGGTGATCTTTCCAACCCAAGGTTTGAACTCTTGTCTCCTTGCGCTGCAGGAAGATTCTTTACCACTGAGCCAACTGGGAAGCCCCACACATGGTTGATGTTGTTTTACTGGTTCAGTTTACAAAATCATTTGCAAACATCATTGAAACTAACTGTACTGTCACCTTATTAACCAAGCGAATATGAAAATGAAAAAGTGTTACACAGTCATGTTGGACTGTTTGTGACCCCATAGACTGTAGCCCACCAGGCTCCTCTGTCCATGGGATTGTCCAGGCAAGGATACTGGAGTGGGTTACCATTCCTTTCTCTAGGGAATCTTCCCAACCCAGGGATCAAACCCAGGTCTCCCGCATTGTGGGCAGATTCTTTATCTTCTGAGCCATTGCCCAAAGTCATATGGACAATATATTTTCAAAGAAGAAATACAAATACAAAAATTTTTCTAGTTGAAAAATTGTGATAACTCTTGGATTGTGTTTATTAAAGTCTTCAAGTTTTTACTCTCAATTATTCATTAAAATTGCAATGAAATCTGAATTCCTGCTGGTTTTGGTACTGACTGCAATGACTGTACTGACTGCAATGACCTTACATCGCTGTAAGGTCACAATAAGTTGTTTTGGGCAGGATACATGCACATGAATGTAAAGAAGCACTATGTGACCCTGGGTTGTGCTAATTCAGGCAGAAACTTTCTTTGAAGGATTTTGTTGGCTTGTGCAGACTGTAATCTAAGGCCATTTTGCTGAGGTTGTACTTTGAAAAAGTTGCTAGTCATATCTCTGTTGATGTACATCTTCATCACTGGTGTTTGGCATCTCGTGGGTACTTTTCCACTTCTCATTGGGCATCAAGGTGTGTGTAGTCTGCTTGGCCTGTCACTTGCTCTCATCAACGGCAGAAATGCCTCCTGCTGTTCTTTTCTCATGCTTGGTTATACTCACTCTGCCCCGTGACCCCTACAATCCCAAACGTCTTTAATATTGACCCTCATGTCCTTGTGGCTCAGCCTTAACTTTTGTCCTGAAGAAATATGATGGGGGAAAGCAGGGCGCACTCAGCTCACACAGTTTGCTCTTGCCTTCTCCTGACTCCTAATGATCACAAATCATATGCTGTGTTCAAATCATGAATATTGCCAAGTAACGAGAAATAGCAAACTGTTAGATATTAAACAAGTAAAATACCCTTCTTTCTCAAGTTTGAAAATTAAAATATGAACGTATATTTGAAATTACTATCAAAATGATTTACCAAATCTTAAATACTACTAAGGTTTTTATATGTAATAGTCCTTTATAGTTTATCACTTTTTCAATATTTCACTTCTATATAATTTCATTTATCAAATATTT